TTTAAGTTTCTTTGCTATATATCCAGCAATATGAGCAGCTAATTTCCTACTTTCTGTTGCAAGTGTCATGATTTCTGTTGCAAGTGTCATGATTTCTGTTGCAAGTGTCATGATTTCTGTTGCAAGTGTCATGATTTCTGTTGCAAGTTTCATGATTTCTGTTGCAAGTGTCATGATTTCTGTTGCAAGTGTCATGATTTCTGTTGCAAGTGTCATGATTTCTGTTCCAAGTGTCATGATTTCTGTTGCAAGTGTCATGATTTCTGTTGCAAGTGTCATGATTTCTGTTGCAAGTGTCATGATTTCTGTTGCAAGTGATTTCTGGAGTACTCTGAGCTTTACTAAGAAGTTTTTCAAATCTGTTAAATTATTTTCTGACTCACGAAGCACTTTCAAAATATCACCAAAGTTAATACTTTCTTTGCCTATACTTTTGATTTTTATTATTTTTTTCTGAAATAGTGACATCTTTTAAACCCGCCAAAAATCTTCCACCGCTCATTTATCTATATTGTTCATGTCTCTTTTTAATGGGTCAATTTGAAATCTCGCAGTTAAATCAAAGTGATATCCATTATTTAGTAAGTCCTTGATCAATGAGGCATGACTATTAAGTGTTCTTATTAGTGCGGCAGCTGTCTGAACACTTAACTTCTCACAGTTTGGTATCTTTTGTGATTGCGAAGTTTCAATCTAATGTGCCATTTCCCTAAAAGAGTCAGTTTTTTTATCTCCAGAAACTAATGCATTACATAATATTACATGTTGAACACTGACATTTAGAATTTGATAAACCCCCCACTTGTTAAATAATGTAAGAAAATCTGCACTACTTTTAAGATAAGGAAAATATGAGTGAATCTTTGCAAACCAACATCAAGTATATTTCATCAAAAATCAAACATACGTCTTGAGATATCTTACCTTCTAATTTTAAACACTTTTACAACGCATTTATATCTTATAAACGTTTTTATATTTTATCTTCTAAGTTTAAACGAAAATTTACAATGTAACATTTCTTAACCATCTTTCTGAACTTCCAAAGCTGCTTCTTTAAAATACTTTTTGAGAAAACTGTTCTTCTTTTTTTTACTTCAAAATGCAAAATATCCGTCCGTATAAATAAATAAAGTAAGCCATGATATATATATATATATATATATATATATATATATATATATATATATATATATATATATATATATATATATATATATATATATATATATATATATATATATATTTAACTGTTATATAAGAGTAAAGAGTTTTTTTTGTAAATGTATATTGTATGGAGTATCTGATAAGAACAAAAACTTTCAGTGTAATAAGGCTTTAAAAATCTTCAACGTTTAAAAAATTTTAACTTGTTAAAGTTTAGGTTATTGTTCATTTCTCACCAAAGTATAAAACTTATTTAAGCTTATTACATTCTATTGAATTATGCTAAAGCAGCTGTAAAAGATGCGCTTTTGACAGCAAGCTACACTAGAATTAAATTGTTTATTCGTGTTCTGTAAAATGTTTTCTTCCCCACCCCCAACCCTTATATTATGCACCCAAGAGTAAGTTGTTTTATATATTTGTCATATAAAGTGGGACTTATGTTTTTCAATAGATTTTATTGACGATGCCTCAAAAATAGTGGTTAAAAAAAACTTCTTGGTTGCGACTCTACTGATCTTAAAAAAACAATTTAGTGTTTCATTTGAAGTAAAACCAACATTATATCAAACAGGATGGCATAGTGTCTTCCATATGACTATAGGACAAGATATTGAAAACTATGGCGATAGAATTCCCGGCGTATGGTTCCACGACGATGGATCGGGAAAATTATTGATTGCCTTCGCTATTAATGGAAACAAAAATTATCACTTTACTACAGCGTCATCATTGCCCTTGAATCAATGGTCAAAAATTGAAATCAGTCAGCGGCTTGATTCTTTTATCTATGTTTATGAAGTGAGTCTAAATGGCGTTGTTATTTTTACTATACAAAACAATGATGCACGCGATTTCAAAAATGTCAAGGTTTACCTTGGTGATCCGTGGTATTCTGCTCAAGCTGGATCAGTAAAAAATTTAAAAATTTTTAATAAAATTTAATTTAGTTTTGTGTTTCAAACTCAGATACTTTTGGTGATTGTTGCAATATTTATTACAAATAAAGAAATATTCATAATTAGATAGCGTTTTTCATTGTTGGTTTTTAACTCTATTTCTCTTAAAAGTTATAAATTTTATTTGAAATTTTTATCTAAAAAATAATTAATTATAAACTTCTAAATAATGCTAGAAGGAGCTAAAAAAGAAGCTCTTGCAAACAATATTTGAAAGTCTTTAACGCGCTAAAAATGATGACAGCAAAAAAATTTTTGAATTGCATAAAAATTTACAAAAAAAAAATCAGTATTTTATTAACTTTGATATGGAACTTGATCTTCAAGAAATTGACATAATGGAAATGGGTTGTAAGGGAGGATGGGTAGGAGTGAGCCACTTTTATTAAATTGATTATATCAAGGAAACCAAAAGTGCAAAAAGTATAGGATAAGGAGCCTAAGGTAGCCTAAAGTATTAGGTTTCTAATAGTAATTAAAAAATACCAAAATATCTTCAGATTTTTGATAACTTGAACAATAATGCAGATGTTGCTCCTGGTTCACTCCTACCCATGCATGGGTAGGAGTGAACCAAGCAAATGGTAGGAGTAAGCCATTATCTTTGATTACCAGAAAACTAAAATTAGATATTTTCTTTAACTAAATTATCAAAAATTAATTAAGTAACAAAAACTTTATAATTAAGCATAACATAATTAAGTATTAATGTAACATAAATAACAATAAATTTAACACAGTTTTAAACTCATTTAATGAAATAAAAAAAATTTATAAACTACCAGAAAAATAATTTGTTTTCAGTAACAACTGATTTTGACAACAAAACAAAAAACTGTCATGTCAAATGATAATTTTTAAATATTAAAATATAATAAAAGTATATATATGTAATGAAAGTAGTATATTAGCATATAGTATATTGGCAATAAAAATAATATTCAGCAAATACTGATATAGTCAAATACAACCTCAAATTTGTAATGACAATGCGGCCCTTTACTTGTACTAGAAAAAGTTGGCCGAGGTAGCAATATTTTGGAAGTTATTGCAGTTTCTCTAATACTTTTTCCTATTTGGTTAAAATGTAATGCATCTTTCATACCTTTACTGGAGGTTTTTGCTTTCAACCCAGTGGGAAAAAAGACGTCGAAAAGACGTCTTTAAAAGTCTTATTTACGATGTCTTTAAGGCGTCTTTTTTTAGTCGATTTTGCAAATCTAAAAGACATCTTTTTTCGACATTGAAAAGACGTCTTTTTTTTCTTTATCTTGTCATGAAAAGTTATGAAAATGCGTCTTTAAGACGCCTTTTTTTAGTCGATTATTCAAATCTAAAAGACATCTTTTTTCGACATCGAAAAGACGTCTTTTTTTGTTTTTATCTTGTTATAAAAAGACATGAAAAATGCAACTTTAAGACGTCTTTTTTTAGTCGATTATGCAAATCTAAAAAACATCTATTTTTAACATAGAAAATACGTCTTTTTTGTCTTTAGCTTGTCATGATAAGGCATAAAAAATGTGTTAATCGTGTTTGTTACAGTTTACGGGAGCAATTTACGGCTCTTGCAAAAGTATAATTATTCTTACGAAAGTATAATTATTGATGTAACTAAAATAGAAAATATAATGTTTACAAAATATATTTATATATATTTTAAAAAATGTGAAAAAGGATTTTTTTGAAGTCGGTTCAATTGGAAATACAGCTGTTTCTGAGAAAAATTAATAGTAAAATATGACATATGAATGATAGTCAAGAATATTAGCAGGAGATTGGTGAAAACATTATACTCAGAAATAATTATTTTAAACGGTTAAACTAAACGATCACAAATTATAAAACTATCTAGTTAATCATAATTTATCTATATATCATCTAGATAAAAAGTCTAGAATTATAGAATATCTAGTCTTCAAAGTTTCATTTGCAGCTAGTTCACCTAACAAATTAAAGCAACTTCCATAAATTCATGGTTCATATTCAGATTTTATAGAATTTTGAATTTATACAATTAATTAAATTATGCAATTCAATTATGTATAAATGTTGTATTTATATAAATACAACATTTATACATAATTAAATTGCACCCATTATAAAAAAGAAGTATCAGACAATACAAATTTTTTAATTGCATTTTGGAGATACAACCCTTTTCTAAAAGAGGTGCGAAATCAAAGAAAAATGAATGGATTTCTACATCATTGCATTAAAGATTAAATGTTTCTGAGCTTACTACTAAGCTGGTCTGATGCTGCAAGGCTCAATTGCGGTCTTTTACAAGAAGATGATGATTCACAACCTTAAACAAAAGCAAAAATTTTGAATCACAAAAAAACATTTTCACTGTGATGAGTAAATCAACAAATAAGATAAAATCAACCAAATTAGATAATTGATATGATTATATAATTGATAGATATGACTAGATAATTTTGTCTTGCATAACAAAATTTGACTTACTAATATATTAGTAAGTCAAATTTTGTTATGCAAGACAAAATTATCTAGTCATATCTATCAATTATATAATCATATCAATTATCTAATTTGGTTGATTTTATCTTATTTGTCCACATTCTACTATAGTAGAATGTGGACGCTTTGGGACAAGCATAACCTTGAGCTGTTCCTCTGGATCCATGTTGGCTGTGTTTTCTCTGAATTTAGTTTTTTAAAATTTCATTTAAAGTAATTGATAATATTACTGTAGAAAGTCTTTGTTTTACCACGTTTATATTGTGAGACTTTGCAAGAAAAATATGCATCTATTAGTTATTTATATCAATAAATTGATTAAAAATAAACGCACCTTTATCTGAAACAGAAAACGAAGAAAAGTCAACTTTTTCTGAAAACAATTTTGGTGGGCTGGCAAACTAGAGCACAGTTGTCATTATGTACATTTTTTACTTGCTTTGTTAATGACAGACAACAGTTAACAAGGAAATAACAACTTTAACATAAAAGATAAAGAGCGAATCTTTTGTCATAACTTCATCGTTTAACTAAATACAAACAACAAAACTATTCAGATTATTTAAAAGCATTAAAAAATATTCCAAGCTTACTTAATGCTTCTTCTTTTGTATTGTCCGTTTTGCTGGCACTTGAACACGTATATATAGATAGAAATTGTTCACATGTTTCTTTTTCGTCTGAAAATAAATATTTTAAATTAATATGTAATAAACAACGTTCTTCAAGAACAACACATTAAAAAAATTAGATGACATACCAAATGTTTGTAAACTCTAACTATATGTGTATTCCAACTTTGCTTATGTGTTAATCCTATAATATAGGATCCTATAATATAGAATGTGTTAATCCTATATGTGTTAATCTATAATATAGGATGTGTTAATCCTTATGTGTTAATCCTATAATATAGGATCCTTAATCCTATAATATAGGATAGGAATTCTATATTATAGGATTTAATTTCAGAATCAATAATGTTTTGAGGAAAATTATTTTTTTGTAAAACTAATGATAGATTCTTAATATCTTTATCAAAACCAACAGACTTCTATTTTTTAATATTTTTTTCAGAGTTTTTTTTATTGTAAAACAATCTTTTGAAAATGTAAATAAATTTTACGAAAAATATCAAAAATAGAAAACATCGTGTTATTTTTAAAAGTAATATATATATATATATATATATATATATATATATATATATATATATATATATATATATATATATATATATATATATATATATATATATATATATATATATATATATATATATATATATATATATATATATATATATATTATAACGATATATATATATATATATATATATATATATATATATATATATATATATATATATATTATAACGATATATATATATATATATATATATATATATATATATATATATATATATATATATATATATATATATATATATATATATATATTATAACGGTATATATATATATATATATATATATATATATATATATATATATATATATATATATATAACGGTAAAACAAGTGAAAACTTGTAAGTTTTCACTTGTTTTACCGTTTATTCTGTTCTCAGTGGGAAACGTAAGTGAACTTACCCCTCCCCTCCCTAAAAGAAAAAAAAGTCTCACTGATTGTTGTTTAATTTGTCATTTAAACATAATTTTTTTTTTTTTTTTTTTTTTTTAAGGATCATCGTTATAATAGACGTCTTTATACGTCTTTAAAAAGACGTTCAACCGACTTTTTAAAGACGTCTTTTTAAAAGACGTCTTTCCACGTCTTTATTTAGGCTGATTATAAAAATACAAAACAAGTTATAAAAAAGACGCCTTTTTTTCGTCTAAAGATGTCTTTTTTCCTACTGGGAAAATTGTTCTTTTATAGACTTGAGGCGTTTTAACATATGGTAAAAATAAATGTAATGTTGCACACAAGTTTTCTAATGATATACTAATATATAAATGTGAAATGTAAATATGTTTTTACGCTGAAATCAAAACTTTTTTTACGTGAAGTATTAGTGAGCCGTGGTTCACTCCTACCCGTGAAGGAATGGTTTATTCCTCCCCAAGCTGTACAACTGGATTAAAACATTAAATGTGCAATAAGTACGTGGTTTATGCATTATTAAATAATTTGTTCTAAAAACCACTATAAGCCAAAAATTAATAATTAAAATGAATAATAATAAACATTCTGTGCTGTGTAAAAGGCTTCCTCTTCCTCTTCCTCTTCCTCCTCGTTTTCTTTGTTATTCGGTTTTAATTTGTTATTTGGTTTTAATTTGTTATTTTGTTTTAATTTGTTATTTGGTTTTAATTTGTTATTTGGTTTTAATTTGTTATTTGGTTTTAATTTGTTATTTGGTTTTAATTTGTTATTTGGTTTTAATTTGTTATTTGGTTTTAATTTGTTATTTGGTTTTAATTTGTTATTTGGTTTTAATTTGTTATTTGGTTTTAATTGTATTAAAATTGGTTCAAAATGTGAGCTATTTCTTGTAATTGTGTTGTTGTTTATATCAGATTTTGCTGTCATTAATATCCGTAATCGTGAATGGATGTTTTTTCAAAGATGGCGATAGTATGTTATTTTATTTTGTTTAACGCAGACGTTTATAATTATAACTTATATTAGTCAAAGCTGTAAACGTTTGAGCGACGTTTACTAAACGTATATATTAAAAGATTTAAAACGTATGTTTTAAATCTAAAATGTTTACGTTTAATTAAGGTCGATTAAAGGTTTACAACATTGACTAACGCAAGTTGATAGTCTAAACGTTAGATTGACGTTTAGTAAACGTATATATAAAAAAGTTTGAAATAAACATTTCAAATCAAGTGTCGATTTTTAGTCAATAGTAGGTCGCTAAG